CAGCCACTGCACTCCAGTCTGGGTGACAGAGTGAGACTCCAACTCAAAAAAACAACAACAACAATAAAAAAAAATACCTATATGCACATCCATTCATACATTTAAGTATATTTTAATTTTATTTATTTATTTATTTATTTTTTGAGTTGGAGTCTCACTCTGTCGCCCAGGCTGGAGGGCAGTGGCACGCTCCTGGCCACCGCAGCCTCAACCTGCTGGGCTCTGGCGATCCTTCCGCCTCAGCCTTCCAAGTAACTGGAACTACAGGCGAGCGCTACCATGCCCGGCTAATTTTTGATTTATTGTAGAGATGAGGTCTCACCAAGTTGTCTGGGCAAGTCTCGAACCTGTGGGCTCAAGCAATCCACTCACCTCAGCCTCCCAAAGTGCGGGATTACAGGCTGAGCCACCGAGCCCGGCTCTTAAGTATATTTTTTAAAATAGGAGCATTGCCTTAGAGCAGTGGTGTAGTCCACAGGCCTTGGGATTTCCTGAGAACTCTTTCATGGGTCTGTGAGGTTAAAACTATTGGCATAGACATTTGTCCTTTTCACTGTGTGGGCATTTTAAAACTCTTCAGGTGATTGTAATATGCAGCCAGGGTTGAGAATGACAGATATATATTCTTTTTTTTTTTTTTTGAGTTGGAGTCTCACTGTGTTGCCCAGGCTGGAGTGCAGTGGCACGCTTACAGCCACCCCAGCATCGATCTGGTGGACTCCGGCAATCCTTCCGCCTCTGTCTTCCAAGTAGCTGGAACTACAGGCGTGCACTACCACGTCCAGCTAGTTTTTTTCATTTATCGTAGAGATGAGGTCTCGCCAAGTTGCTGGGGCTGGTCTTGAACACGTGGGCTTAGGCAGTTCACTCGTCTTGGCCTTCCAGAGTGCTGGGATTACAGACTGAGCCACTGAGCCCAGCCCAGATATATATTCTTGAACGAATTGAGAATGCTATGTGAGAAAATTTTATTTAATTTTTTAAACTAGGCCAGGCTCGGTGGCTCAGCCTATAACCCCAGCACTTTGGGAGACCAAGGCGAGTGAACTGCCTGAGCCTGCAAGTTCGAAATCAGCCCAGGCAACTTGGCAAGACCTGGTCTCTACAATAAATGAAAAAAATTAGCTGGGCGTGGTAGCGCGCCCCTCTAGTTCCAGCTACTTGGAAGGTTGAGGGAGAAGGATTGCTGGAGCCCAGCAGGTTGACGCTGGGGTGACCGTGAGCCTGTGTACCACTACACTCCAGCCTGGGCAACGGAGTGAGACTCTGACTCAAAAAAAAATTGTTTTTAAGCTATTTCATTCTTTTTGCCTTAACAACTCTTTCAGGCAGTGAGAAGAGTATTATTATCTTTCTCTCTTTTTTTCCTTTTGGTTGAGTTAGTGTCTTATTCTGTCACCCAGGCTAGAGTGCAGCAGCATGCTTGTGGCTATCACAGCCTCGACCTGCTGGGCTCAGGCAATCCTTCCACCTCAGCCTTCCACGTAGCTAGAACCACAGGTGTATACCACCATACCCGGCTAATTTTTTGATTTATTGTAGAGATGAGGTCTCACCAAGTTGTCCAGGTTGGTCTTGAACCCCTGGGCTCAGGCAGTCCTCTCACCTCCGCCTCCCAAAGTGTTGGGATTACAGGGGTGAGCCACTGCACCTGGCCTATTATCTCTTTTAAAGTCAGTGTGATACAGCTATGGACACATATTTTTTTGACAACTACCTGAGAAAGAGGCAAGTACAGTTTAAATACACGATTATTGGTGGCTATTATTTCAATTAGAAAGGTAAATAACTTGAAGCTCAGAAGTGACTTGCTCAAGGTTACATAGTTCAATAAATGAACAGGTCTTCTGAAGTCCTTTCTACCTATTCTACCTTGCTAGCATATTTGTTGTCTTTCTGAGCTATTTTATGAGACATAAGAAATTCCCAACTAAAGTTATTTGTTGAATAATATATCGGCTCTCTGAAATTGTAGTACTTAATTGACCAGGGATGTCACCTAGGAAAGGGTTTAAATTGTTGCCTTTATTTGGAAATTGCAAGTGGATGTTTTCCATTTTAAGTGCAAATATTTAATGAAAATATTTACCTTGCAATAAGGTTGTACTTGACTACAATTAAGTCATAGCCATTATTACTTTCATATAATATACTTTAAGGCTCATTTGCAGAAATCTTCCTGTCTAGAAATGTAATGGTTTGGGTCACTTCAACGTCTGTCTCCGTAGCTTCGTAACAAACCTATGTCATTAGAAAACTTAGTAGCAAAGTAAAATTCTTAAAACCTGATCATCTCTCAACTTGTAAGCACAAAACAAGCAAGCAAAATCCTTATATTCCCATTATAAAAGTAATGTGGGACGGGGGACAGGTTAGAAAAGAGACTGAGAAGAATACATATTGTATTTTGATTTTTGTTTTCTGCATATGGTTAGTGTGACATATACAGTATATCAGGATCATATTGATACATATTTGATAGCTAGTCCTCATTTTCCACTGAACATTGTAGTGGGATATTTTTCTTTGTCATTGAATATTTTTCAAAAACATGATTTTGCACGATAGTCTATCATTTAATTTATGTAGCCATTTCTCCATTGTTGAACATATAGGTTTTTATTTTTTGCTATTATAAATAATTCTTCATTAAACATTTTTATTTCTTCATCTTAAATTCTTAGAAGTGGAGTAGTTGGAATAATTAGATCAAAGAATATAAACTTTTTAAAGCACTTGATAGATACTGCTAAAATTTTCTTGCAGAAGAGTTGTTTCAAAATATAACCTGTACTTTGCCAATAATATTATCATTTTTTTAAAATTTTAACTTTTTATTTCAAACTAATTTTAGGCTTCCAGAAAAATCACAAAAGGAATACAGAGTCCCCATATACCTCTCACCTAGTAGATATTAATTTTGGTGGAGAGTAATAATTACCTTTGTATTTTGTAACCTATTAGTCATTGAGTCATTAAGGTTTTTAATAGTATTGACATACAGTTATATTTACCCTTATATACGTTTATGAGACAAAATAATTACAACTTCTTACAGGACCTTACGAAGAATTCATCACAAGCTGAACCAAACAGTTCTTCAGACTTACTGTTTAACTTGACCCCGGATTCAGTAACATCATCCCAAGACATACCAGCAATTTTTAGAGGTTTGGTTTAGCACTTTTCATAAAAATTGTTAAAAGATACTTGGTAAATGTACATACGGAATTGAATTTCTGTTTTGAAGCCCCATACTATCGTGTTAAGTCTTTCATATATTATAACATGGAATAGAGCTAATGAAATTTTATTTATTTTCTGTTAAGTTGGCTAGGATGTATTCTTTGAGCTTATCCTCACTTGCAACCAGTCATGGGCTGAAAAATCTTTTTTTGAAACATATTTTTTATTTTAAAATTGAGGGGTACAGTTAAGGGTTAGGTATACAAATATGCATTGTGCAGGTACCTTTGTTGATGAGGTGTGGAAAAATCTTAATATAATTTCTGTGAGTCAGAGAAATCCCTTGATGCCTTAAATACTCTAAAACAATTTTTAATTATTTGGAAGGCCATTAGTATGTGAAAATGTGCATGGCTATAGTTTGCTTTTTAATAGATTGGTGTCTTTCTATTCAAATCAATGATGTAGATATGATCGTTAAATATGATTATGAAGTAGTATTATAAAATGGCAGAACTAAAAACAAATAGTGATTTGCACATGGAAATATTCAGTAAACATTTGTTGAAGGAATAATAGAAATGTTCCAATTGAAGAAGAGTTACAGTTCTTTGATGTCTACTATAAGGAAGTTCCTCATTTGCCTAAAATACATTAGCATATCAATAAAAGACTTTTATCTAGTTGAAAAAATCCTTATAATCAAAGCAATTACTGTTTCTCTGTATTAGCTAATTTGATTTATTTCACTCAATGGAAAGAGGGACACAATAATTATTTGAATGTTTAAATTGTTGACTAACAGATTAGTATACAATATTTACCAACCGAAACAAAAACAATATATAATAATATGAGTGCCAAAAATATTTTTCCATTTTGACAATACTTGGTGCAATATTCACCTGTCTAGGTGTGTCCCTTAATCTAGTTAGTAAAATAGCCAAGAGCTGAAATAAACAGGGAGATGAAATATTTGTTTTATGTTTGGTTTTACAAAGCACATGGTCTTTATTCACAGAGTCTGAATTCTTGAAGCTTCTGGAAAATAAAGACAGTGACTCCTGTTCTCTCTCTTAAGTTTTTATGCTACAGAGAATGAAACTCTGTCCTGAATGATAAATAGGGTTATAATTGATTAAGAAGATTCGGGTTTAAGCGTTCGTTCTAAAAATTTCTTTGGTCTTTTATTAAGTCAACTAACCTCTTTATACTTCAGTTTTCTCACACTATTAAAATAGATACTTTTATTTTTCTTACATAATGCATTCATTTTCCAAACCTGAAATGAGCCATTTGGACATTAAATTTTAATTCTTACTTTAATCTCAGTGCTTTCTCAAAGCCCAAATAAGATAAGTGAAAAATGTATTATAAGCTTTAAAGGACTTGACAATAAACAGTTGTTAGAATGGTAACTATGAATGACAGTATGTGTTGTGTGTTCAGAAGCATGATTAATGGACTCCTTCCTAGGATGATCATAGAAAGTTCTTAGAGAAGGTTGGATTTGAGCTTGATTTTGGGGAATGAGAATAACATTTTTATTAGTACAGATAAGAATAGTTGAGGGTATTGAATGGCACAAGCAAAGACAACAAATAAATAAGTTAAAGTGTCAGAATTTAAAACTATTGAGTTCAAATTGATTTTATTTAACTTAGATTTCTCATGCTTTAAAAATTATATATTAAAATAGACTATTTTTATTATCCAGCCCATTGCATAATCAGTTGCCTAGTCCAAAATACCAGCACTTGGTTGTTCAAGTAATCTAAGCCTCTTAGAAGAATGTTAAAGTGATTACACAAAAGTCAGTCCCAAGAACCTTCAGTATAACTGTCAATAATCATGTGCCAACATTAGGGATGGAGAATGAAACACAGATTTGACAGAAGAGCCCACTAATGTAATACTTTTATTTTCCTGGCATTTATCTACTCTACTGCTTCTCTTATTAATGTATAGTTGTGAGCTTTAAAACATGATGTGCAGTTTTATAACCTTTATCACAGAGTACAATTAATTGTATATTATTTTGCTATGTCTGGTTATATAGCCCAAATAACCCCATTTCTCTTAGGGATGCCTTGAATTATCCTTTAGCCTTCAAGGTGATGGTTTGCAAACTCAAAACTATTTTAGCAATGAAATTCTTATTCAAATAAAATTTAATGAAAAATGTAATAAAACTTAAAAGGATAGCTTCTTTATCTGATATTCACATGATATTTTCTAAGACACACCATTAGACTCAGGGGAACATAGTTTTGAAAGCCATTATACTAACTCCAAACCTTTTCTTATGAATGAGTGAATGAGGTATTGTCATTCAAGATTCATTGTTGTCACTTTGTACATGGAGAATGAACATAATTTAATCAGCCATCTACTAAGTTAATCTGCCACCTATTAAGTTGTTAAGTGGGAAAAGAGCCAACTTGAATTTTCCATTAGATATCTAAGTTTCTTCTTAAGCATCTTAGAGGGTTTCTCTAAATGTTTAGAATAAATTTGAAAAATATTTTGCAAGCTCAAATGCATTTAAGCATCTAAAGGTAAATTAATTATAGGAACTTAGCTCAAAGTATTTTCTGTTTATTTATTTTATTTAGCTTGGAATTTTTCCATCTGACTTCTTTTATGATATCTGTTTATGTTTTATTTGAAAGCATCTTTAAAATTTCCTTGCATAAAGTTTATTTTGTGAATTAGTCAAATATATGTAGTTCATAGTAGCTGTGCAATTTCTTTCTACTAATATAAATTTTCATCATTCTTTATAGTTATTTATATGATATAGTAATTCAATTATATTACCTTTAATTTCGTTTTAGAGTATTTTTACTTAATTTTAAATGTAAGACCATCTCCGTAGCAGTTTTATGTAAGCAATATTCTATACTGAAGCATTTACAAATATCTTTCTCACTATTTAAATCTTTGTAGATATGAATAGAACTTCATTTACATTAAAACGTCCTTCTCCTTCTAAAGTAAACAGTGTTAGTCCAAAAAAACAAAAGAGTGATAAAGATGTTTATGAAATAGATCCCTCTGCTTCATTGTTTTCAAGTGACTCTTCTACAAAGACATCTCCCCAGATTATGCCATCACAAGGTAAATATGACATCTGGCACGTAAAAAAGAAATTGTCTTATTTATATATACATTTTAGAAAGTGTGATGAATTTTAAAACCATCATTGGTGGTTGTTTAAGGTTTTAAAAAGATGAATTTCAGTCTTAAATGTCCTTTATTTTAGATTCAAATACCTCGTCAGTTCAATGTAAAGATGAAGCACCTTTCCAAGAAGCTTGTCCAAAGTGCAATGTTCACTTCAATCTTTTGGAATCTTTGAAACAGCATATGAAGGTAAACCTTTTTTCAAAATTCAGTTTTTAGAAATGTTTACAAAGCCCTGAAAATATTAAGGATTGACATATAGTAAATGCCATTTTGTCCAGATATTTAGATGAGAAACCTTCTCATACTGAATTTTTCATATAACTCAAGTAAAAGTTGATATTCACATACATTGATTATCTTTATACAAGAGTTTAAAATCCTTCCTAATCATGAAATTTTAAAAATTAAGTACATCATGGATGGAACTAGAGGTCATTTTGTTATGTGAAATAAACCAGGCACGGAAAGACAAAGACCACATGTTCTCATTCATATGTGGGAGCTTAAAAAAATTGATTGAGGTGGGAGGATTGCTTGAGCCCAGGAGTTCAAGACCAGGCTGAGACCCTAGTTCTACAAAAATTAAAATTAGTCTGAAAAAAAAAACCAAAACAATATAGTGTGTATTTCCAAAAAGCTAGAAGAGAGCATTTGAAATGTTCCCAACAGCCAGGCTCGGTGGCCCAGCCTGTAATCCCGTGCTTTTGGGAGGCTGAGGTGAGTGGATTGCCAGAGCCCACGGGTTCGAGACCCGCCTGGGCAGGCGAGACCTCATCTCTACAATAAATCAAAAAATTAACCGGGCGTGGTAGCACACGCCTGTAATTCCGGCTACTCGGAAGGCTGAGGCGGAAGGATTGTCGGAGCCCAGCAGATCGAGGCTGCGGTGGCCGGAAGGTGGCTGGGAGCGGCCACTGCACTCCAGTCTGGGCGACAGAGTGAGACTCCAACTCAAAAAAAAAAGAAATGTTCCCAACACACAGAAATGATAAATACTTGAGGTGATGGATACCCTAAATGCCCTGACTTGATTCTTATTCTATGCATGTAACAAAATATCACATGTACCCCATAAATATATACAAACATTGTGTGTCATTGAAAAAATATTTACATTAAGTTCCTATGCACTACAGTGTACATATTGTATTTTAATTTTAAATAAAAGTAATATATTAATCAGAATATTTTATTGACTTAAATTATGCCATTCTTCAAACTTTTTGTAAAGTAGACATTTTATTGGGTTCTTAATTTTTAGTGTAACTTAAAATTCTTTTTGCTTACCTTATTTTTTGTCCATGGTTTCATATGCATGTCACATTACTCACTGAAAATCTTAGTTTTACATTTTAGTTTTCAACACTTGGCAATAAATACCTAACGATGAACATTACATATTAAATGATAGTTTTAACTCAATTTATAATATAGTTTATATAGTTATATCTATATAGTTATAGATAGTTTTATACTGATGTGGGAAGATCTTGAAATTAGGTTTTAGGTGATCAAATGTAGGATTTAGGTAACACTACTTAAACTGTTTTAGTAGATATTACCGTATTCTGTTGTGTATTTGTATAGCTATTCTGTATTCTCCTTGCAAGCCCAGTGTAAATGGCAGGAAGGGGGGAAGGAGGCAAGAAAAAAGACAGTGTAGATTATATGTGAGAAAGAAGGGATGAGAAGGTTGCAAAGCAAAGAAGCAACCTGGGAAAAGGTATTGCTCAGTAGTTCAAAGGTTGGCAAATTTGTATTGGAATTCAGCATTTTTTAAAAAAGTATGATAAGAAAGAATTCTAAACTTTCAAATACAAATCTCTTTATTCTGGGGCAAAGCTGTTAGGTCTACCACGACTTCCGCCTTGAGAAAGTGGAGCCAGTCTCACATTACCACTGTTTTTTATTTGATATCTCCCAAATCTGTTTCATGATGTTGCTCTTCCGGATATAGATGGATCTATCTCACAACTTCATTGTGAATGCACCCTCTAGGATTTTTTTTTTTTTTTGAGTTGGAGTCTCACTCTGTTGCCCAGACTGGAGTGCAGTGGCCGCTCCCGGCCACCGCAGCCTCGACCTGCTGGGCTCTGGCGATCCTTTCGCCTCAGCCTTCCAAGTAGCTGGAACTACAGGTGCGTGGTACCACGCCCGGCTAATATTTTGATTTATTGTAGAGATGAGGTCTCGCCAAGTTGCCCAGGCGGGTCTCGAACCCGTGGGCTCAGGCAATCCACTCACCTCGGCCTCCCAAAGTGTGGGATTATAGGCTGAGCCACCGAGCCCAGCTAGGATTTTTATAGTGTCCTTTTTTGTCTTATTGTTTAATGCTTTCTGTTTGATATAGGCTCAGAACCCTTGCTTTCTTACTGTTTTGCTTTGTCTGTTAGAATCTGTGTATCCTTTTATTTTCAGACTTTCCAAATCACTTTGTTTTTGGTATGTTTCTTGCTTTTACCAGAGTTGGGTTTTTTTATTTTGTGATTCTTTATAAAAATTTTTTTTTTTTTAGGAGTTGAGTTCAACCCATTCATACTCATTGGTAGGAGAGATTTAACTGGCCTGATAGGTTTAATTGGTCTTGGTTCTGTCACTTTTTTGTTATGTTTTCTTTCTTTATCTTTTTTAAAAAAGTTTATTGTTACTTTGTAAGTACTTTGGGTTTTAGGATTCTTTTTATTTGTTTTCCATCCTAACTTGTTTTAGTATGTCGTCTTGTCTTTTTTATTAAAAAAAAAGAAAAAAGAAAGAAAGAAAAAAGGCAGGTCCAGGCTCAGTGGCTCAGTCTGTAATCCTAGCACTTTGGGAGGCTGACACAAGTGGATTGCCTGCGCCTGCGGATTCGAGACTAGTCTGGACAACTTGGCGAGACCTCTTCTCTACAATAATTGAAAAATTAACTGGGTGTGGTAGCACCTGCCTGTGGTTCTGACTATTCGGAAGGCTGAAGTGGAAGGATCGCTGGAGCCTAGCAAGTCGATGCTGGAGTGACTGTGAGTGTGCCACTGCACTCCAACCTCGGCGACGGAGTGAGACTTCAACTCAAAAAGAAAAAAAAATACAAAACACTTTATTGAAGTATGATTGACAAGTAAAAATGTATACTTAGAGTATGCGATACAGTGTTAACTATATGCACTATGCTGTACAATAGAGCGCTAGAGCTTATTTATTTTTGAATAACTGATTTTTTGCACTTCTTGACAAATTCGTCTCCATTTCCCCCTCCCTCTAGTTCCAAAAAATTACTCTTCTACTCTCTGCACCTATGACTTTCACTATTTTATTTTTATTTTTATTTTTTTGAGTTGGAGTCTCACTTTGTCGCCTAGGCTGGAGGGCAGTAGCCCACTCCTGGCCACCGCAGCCTCGACCTGCTGGGCTCCGGTGATCCTTCCACCTCAGCCTTCTAAGTAGCTGGAACT